CCCCCCCCCCCCCCCCCCCCGAATGCCCAAAACAACACTCCCCCGCCCCCTCCCATATTAATTAGCCTGCTGGTAATTGCACCTGTTTGGAAACCAAGCCTTTGTCTCTACATTTGAATTTCTTGGCACCTGACTGATCTGCCCACCATATTAGCCAGCAGGATGATTTAGCTTACTGATACGTGTGTGGGCAATCAGCCATTTCAGCTATCATGCTGTTTTTAAGGAAACTGTCTGATACTGAGTACTCTACTGAAGGCCCGCTTCTGACCTTCTGGTCACAAGTCTGGGCCGGTTCTGAAGAGGCAGGCCTCCCGTCAAGATCCAAGTGCTGAGGGTCAGGCTCAGATGCAGATCAGCGATAAGGGCTTCGTTTCCTCGCCCCGTCCGCTTGCCCTCAGATGTCTCTCAGCATGCGGGAGCAGGCATCCCCAGGACGAGATCAGCCCCTCCCTCAACCCCATTTGAATTTTCCGCCCCCCTGTTTCCTTTGGGATCAGAGCCCCTACACTCATCTCATCACCCCAAACTCCTGAACTGGGGGGGTGATGCCTGTCTAGTGTGGGCATCGAGCCTCTAAGCCTCTGCTGGGAATTTAAATAACCTGGACCTCTTTTTTTTGTCATTGTCCTCCTTGTTTCTGTCTTCGTTCTGGTCCATCCTCAACTGCCTGGCCTTTATCCATCTGGCCCCGATCCCTCTGAAGTGGCCGCATCACCTACCTCGATATGTACGAGATGCTGCGCCACATGTCCCCCCCTTTAGGCTTGGGAAAGAAATGTCCGCCCCGAGTGGCCTACAAGGTAGCCCCACCCCTTTTGCTCCTCCTCCCGTCCTATCATTCGCTCACGATCTGGCCAATAGCTGTGCTGCTCTGTGGTGATGTTCTCCTCTGTTTTGTGCTCCTCCTGCCCCGACACTGTCGTGCTGCTGTACTCCTCTTTCCAAACGGCGCCGCCCACAGCTGCTGACAGACTCATGATGCTGGAAAAACCTTTAGCACGTTGTTTTGCATGAAAACACACCACTATAATAGTAACAGTTTTTGAGGGATGCTCTGATCAGGGAACCTTTCAACCTAGTGTACAGCAGGTTATATAATCTTAACTGCAGACCTTACAGTGCCTGCAAAAGTGTTGAGTCTTTCACTGCTAGTTCTCAACACAATTGAAATTCCCAGCTGCTTTCAGATCATATTCAGGCCACCTGACACTGACGTCATGCACGGCACAATGTCGGGGTGCCAGCCTGGCGTCTGCAGTCCCCACCGCCCGCGTCCACCATCCTGCTTAGTATCAGCACATTGATGCTAGCATTAGCCACGTGCTTTAGCCACTCGGTGCTTAACGTTGGACTGGTGAGAAGTGTGAGGACGCCATAGCTGTGCGGTGAGCCCCGGGCTCTTGTTTTTCTTTCTCTCTATCTTTTCCCCCTCTTTCTCTCTGATCCCTGATGTCAAAACGTTTCCCAGTTTCAGCAATATTAAAAGCAGTTCCCAGCTGTGGGCTACTGTTCTTGCTGGCTCCCCCCGGTTTCATGTTTTTGAGTGAGGACTTACCCCCCCCCCCCCAGCCCATCTGCAGACCTTGTCCATGGCTTGCTCACTCTTTGTCGTCTGTTTTTGTTGGGGTTTGGCATTTGTTCTGGCTCTGCCCATCACCCTTGAAGCCCCACCCACCACGCTGTCTGCTCATCACAGTCCCTTTTACAGATGCATGCCTGTTCAGTGTTCGGTTTTAACCATCGCATGCTTTGAACACCCTGTGCGCCATGAAGGTGTAACACCAAGGTGTGTGAGACCATCTGTAACACTCCTGTTTACAATGTGACACACTCACAACCTGTTGTCTTTTCTCAGTTTCGAACCACTTACTCAATATGATCAATTGAACTTGGAACAGCTGCTTAAATCATCCAAGTTTGGTTGCAAAACTGAACTGTTTTGCCAGGTTAGGAGTCCTGACGTCCACAGCAGGAGACCTTTAGGGCCTTGAACTAGCTGTCTTCAGGGTTACAAGTTCAGATCCTTAATCACCTGCAGTCTTAAAAAACCTCTGCAGGAACGTCCAGCCTTTCAGCTCCAGCAGGAGTTATAGTTCATTCCAGCAGAAGCACAACCATGTTGCTCATGTTTCTGAAGGTAGCATTAGAGACGTTGTGGACTAGAGGTTCAGTCGCTTCACCCAGATCTATTCTCCAGCATTGGTGGTCCTGCATGCCTGTGTCTCTCTCGCTTTCATCTTCTCATGGCCATAGTGCACCGTGTCTGCATGGAAGACTTGCTTCCCCCCTTCAGTTCTTCAGATCTTTTTGTGTCCTGGTAATGACTGTTTACTCGCTGGCCCCTGGCTCTCCCCCTTTAAACGCCAAACTGGGGATTGGCTCGCCAAGCGAAGCCGCTACCAGGACTCAAAAAAGAGGCTTGACACGGGGTGATGCCAACGCCATGACGACTGTCCGTCCATCTCCCCAGCGGCTGGTGAGGATGAACATGCCCATCGCTGAAGACAACACGGTGCACTTCACCTCCACCCTCATGGCCCTCATCCGCACGGCGCTGGAGATCAAGCTGGCGTCAGGTAACACCACACCCCCTGCTGGTGTGTCCCTCCTCCACACCCTCCTTTCATTCCCAGCATCCTCCCTTGCCTTCGATCAGTGATGCATAACCTGGTGACCTCCCATCTTGTTCATCCTCGTTTCTGCTCTCGCCACCTTCTAAACAACTTCAGCTTAATCTTTACTCAGCAGTGAGCCAGGCTGTATGTCTCTCTGTTGGCCCTTTAAGACGCTGAGGCTCTCACATTCTCCATGGTGATAATAGGCTGGTTACAGCACAGTGGGATGATACACGGTAACCTGTGGGCAGAAAGTGCCATAGAACTCTGAAGAGTATGAATGGTAATGGAATAATTACCAGGGATTGTGCAGGTCTGAAATTATTATGGTGGATACTAGAGAACTTCAATGACTTGGTGTAAAGTGTGGGACAGAAATTAAATTATTAAGGTGGATAAGATAATGATTATTGTTAAATAGGATTTGGAATCTTGAATTAATTAATATTGATATCTTGCTGGTGTTTTAATCTAATGTATCTTCATACTTCATGAATTTATACCGCTGGTTATGTTGGCTAAAGCGGATTGGATGAGTACCATCTCACTGGCGGAGCGGCATGTTCGCGGTGCTAAGCTCACCCGAAGCTGCTGCTCGTGAGGGAGCTGAAGGAGGAAGAGCACTGAGCTTCGGGTCTGTTTGGAAATGCGCAGGTGTGGTGGCCCAGCGGCTCTGTGACGCCGACCTCAAGAAAGAGATCAGCAACGTGTGGCCCAGCCTGCCTCAGAAGACCCTGGACCTGCTGGTCACGCCTCATAAACGTAAGCCCACCTGGCACACTGTGGGTAAAGAACCTCATGTTCTTTTGGAGTGGTTGATCAAATTGGATTCCGTTAAAGTTCTTGAGGATGTTCTAGAATAGCGTTTCTCACCTTTTTCACTCCCTGTACCAGGTTTTCCGTGTTCTTGGTTATTCGATTCTGGTGTTGCGGGTGCGGAGAGGGAACAAAGAAAGGAGAAATACTGTTCTAGAAGGTTCTTAAAGGCGTTTTGAATATTCTGAAGTATCCAGACACGCAGAGAAATAAACCAACTTAGTGCTGAAGCCCCTTCATATTCATGGAGAAATGGGAGAAGGAGAAGCTCCATTTTATTTTAGTACATTTTTATGGAGGAAGCCAAACGGATTAACTGCGGGGCATTTATCGAAGCAACCCAGGTTAATTACCAAAGCTTGCGGGCACACCAGCCCTGTGCCCTATGGGAAACGGCCCCAAACCAGTTCAGTCCTGCCTAGTGCGGTAGGACAGGTGCAGGTACCAAAATATCAACTCGGTCTCGGCCTCTCATACACCAAAGTGACCCACTTCTGTCTCGGCCGCCTATCCTGACTCTACTTGCATGACCTGCTGTGTCCGCTTATCACACCTGCTCATTTAACCACTTCCTATTGTCACTCTCAGCTCTGTGACTGTGGTGACATCTAGTGGTCAGGTTTGTAAGTGCTCTGGTTCAACTTAAGGCTGTTACAGCTGTGGTGTGTTTAATTCACCAGCACAATTGTGCTTTCCAAGGTGATGGATACTCATGTTTCATTCCATGAGGGACCGTTTTATCCAAATAATTTTGATTTAAAACATTAATCCGGTAGGCCCCGCATCTGCACTCCATCCATGCTCTACTTCTAACCAAAATCCTTACCTTTCTTCCCCCACCTCCCAAGACAATGAGCTGACTGTGGGTAAAGTGTACGCTGCTCTCATGATCTTTGACTACTACAAGCAAAACCGTGCCAAGAAGCTCCAACAACAGCAGCAGCTCTCTGGGGTCAACCAGGTAATGTTTAAGGGGCCACACTGCCCCCTCCTGGATGATAAGCAGTGTATCAACATAGCTGGATAGCTAGATTTTTTTTGATAATCGGTTCCTATGGTGTTTGAATCTGTAGTGATGGATGTAAGATATGAAAATGAAAAAAAAAATATATATATATAAACATAGTTTGTAATTTTTTAGTCTGTTAGGCACTTGATGTGTTGGAGCACTGTGGCTGTTCCTTGTGTAAGTTGATGCCCCCCAACCCCCTCCCTCCCCCCATGCGCACCACCCTCCCACCATTGATCACGCTGTTCATGGTCCATGGCTGCAGGGTAAAATGGGCATGAGCACCCTCTTCAGGCCCATCCTGCCACTGACGCACCTCCAAGACCAAGAGCCCCCTGTCAGTGTCTCCACACCAGGAATGAAGGCGGAGCCGCAAACCAAGTCCCCGCTGGATGTGCCCTCCGCCGTTCTGTCTTTGACCAATGGCACTGCAGGGTGAGCCCCCATGCGTAGGGGTGGGCGCTCGCAGGGGGCGTGATCAGAGGGGACAGTGTGAGGAAAGCACTGACCCAGCCTTGTGTCTGTGGTATAGCTTCGCTGCCGGTTGACGTGTGACTGCGTTGTGTTTCGGGGTGAGATGAGTGTGTGTGTGTGTGTGTGTTTGTAGGGGGGGGGTCCTTTTCTGTGCCTGTAACTTGATGTGTGTGCATGTGCTGGTGTGTGTCGCTGTGCACCTTCAGCCAAGGCCCAGCCAGCACCCGTAAAGAGTCCCCCCCCAGAGTGAGAGAGAAGTCTCGTGAAGTACCTCGAGGACAGGGGAGACGGACCCCCCAGAGGGACCAGTCGGAGGAACTTCCCCCCAGAATCAAAGCTCAGGTACTGGGCCAGAGGGGCAGCCGTGGAATCACCAGTTCTACCATCAGAACACGTGTCTCTTTCAGGGCTTTATACACACATGTTCTTTACTCTGTCAGTTGATTGATTGATCAGTTCTCTTGTCATTCATTCATTCATTCTATTTAAAAAAAAATGAAATTATTAATTCATAATTATTCATTTACTACTCTATGCCTTCTAATATATGAGATATTAATTTTCTGTATGAAGAAAGGTTATAAATGAAAATAAACTTCATTGAAATTAAATGAAATGATATGGTGTGGAAGATGCATGGATGGAAGAACTGAAGGCCAGTCTGCCTGTATGCAGGAATCAGTGGAGATGATGGAGATGCAACATGACACTAATGATGGAAGCCTCTCTGGGCTGGAGAGCCAGGGACGGGCAGCATCCATGCCCAGGCTGAATGCCCAGGGTCAGGTAGGCTCTCCTCTGGGGCACCGCCAACCACTAGCAGTCTTGTTGGTCCAGTGGTTCATGGTAGAATCCGCCCCCTGACAGCTTGACGGATTCCCATTCTGGGAGCATTTTTTTTGGGCTGCATATCCTGTTTGCTGTGCTTAGAGACCCAGAGACCTGCTTAGGATCCAGCAGAATCAAGGTCTTTATATACGTTTAGCTGCTCCTTTTGTAGATCTGTTTTTCTGCAGCATGTTCTGAGTTCATCTCGGTTTCCCAGTTCTTACAATGAGGATTCTCTCTAAAAAAAATTGTAGGAAAGAAGAATGTTACACTGAGGTTTATTTGCAGGCAGTAAGTTATATCAGTTCTCACCACTAGGTGGTGGGACTGAGCTCTTCCTGTTCTGTTCAAGCAACTCACAAATTCACAAATTGATGTTCAAAAACATAAATTTAGATTAGGAGTGCTCATTTATGAAGAACAACACCAGTCAAATATAACTGTGCAGACTGTATGGTCATTTTGTGGGCTTTATGTGGCTCTAATGTCAGTGTGAGTTTAATATCCTGTGACAGTGACATTCAAACCATTCAGCCAAACCATTCAGCAAAAACCTAAAACCTAAAATGAGGATGAACAGAAAGTCAATTCTTTTTTTCCTTATATTGTTTTTTTTTGGCATCTCTCACATCTTCAGCCACTTCCAGACGCCAGCCCCATGAAACGCTCCGTGTCCACCCTCGCCCCCCAGCACCACCCCCCGGAGATCAATCTGCGTGACTATGCCCTGGAGCGGCCGGCCCAGGAGCGGCCTCACCATCACCACCATCACCACCACCGCTGCCACCGGCGCCGCGAGAGGGAGAGAAAGCAGAGGTCGCAAGAGCGGACGGCTGCGTCAGAGCAGGCGGCCCTTGCTGGTCAGTGGGGCCTCTTTTCCTGCTCTTCCACATCTCTTTTGCTTCCAGCTCCATTGCACCTCTAGATATGCCTCCATCATTCCGACCTCATATGGGGACAATCCAGTACGCTTTGATAAAGTAAGTGCACTTCCACTCCTTACCATTAGGTGGCAGTGTTCTTTATAGGGCTGCCTTGGAACCATGGAAATGGACAAACAGTGCGGTGATTGCAATCAAGACTTAAGTTCTACTCATCCTTTAACAGTGGGAGATGTGGGAAGTTTTTTTTTTTTTTTTTGGTTTACATAGTTGCCAAATGTGAAGAAATTTGGTTAAACAGGCAAAAGTGAAAAGTGACAGGCATGTGCAGGGTGTTCCAAAGGGATTCTAGTTTGCACATGGGGGAAGTAACATACAGTAGCACCATGGAATATCTGTTACGTGCTATTTCCCAATTTACAGCTTTCTATGGTGTAACAATGGCCACCATCTTCATTGCTAAAACGGCGAACCTTCTCCTGGAGATGCACTGTCATTCCAGTACCTTGTAGCCTTAATGACAGTTCACTGCTAAGCATGTGACCATGTTACAACCACTCAGGCGGCGTCTGACCATTTATTTCCTGGTGTAGGATGATGTTTTCCTGCAAAGAACCATAGTTGTCGGAATGTTGCTTTTTCGCTTCACCTGAAATGATACTTTACAAAAAAAAAAGTGTTCATTTGCATTCAAAGTGATCCATGAATCCATCCATCCACCCACCTCCCGTAACTGTTTTTCCAATATAAGGTCCAAGTGAGCCTGGAGCCAATAAAGAAAACATTTGCTCTTTGCAAAAGCATTTGCTAAGTGAATAAACCACAAATAAACCATCAAATAAATAGCAAATTGTCACCAGTATGAAACAGCCCTTTGAATGTCTCTACTTCTACATTTTCTACATAAACAGCTATGTATTAAACAAACAGTATACTTTAACCTCTGAGGAATGGATACATTATTCGGCAGGCAGGGGTCCACTGCCAGGGGTCTGCAGGGAAGTTTGGCCCTGGTTACCAAGGTGACGGGTCCTGACAGCCGGTGGCGCAGGGCAGAGACGTGCAGCTGGCCTTTATTAAAGAGATAAAAAGGCACCCAGACATCGCAGTCCCTAATTTGTCAGCATGTCTTGGCAAGGCAAGAGGAAAAACTAACCTTGAGGATCTGTAATCGTTGCTGTGTGTCAGAGCAAAGACGCCTGCATTCCTAATGAGGGGAGACCCAGACTGTGCCAGCCGGGGGCCCTGTCCTCTCTGTGGCATTAGGGGACCCGCTAAGCCACGTTTGTGTTAAATGTTCACCCGCTTTCAGATGCCAGCTCTGTTTTACATCTGTTTCCTTAAAACACTTCCCCAAATCGTAACTGGCTTGTTGGTGTGTATCCCTGACAATTTCAGTTACCCAGCATCCTTTAGTTGTCCTGATTCTTAGTTACATTTCTCTGGCACTTTTAACCAAAGCGACTCGTACTGGTTGGTAGCAACACAATTTTGGGGTGCTCCCTGGGACTCGAACCCACAACCTTCACATTGTTGTCAGAATGTTATGCTTGTTGCAATACAGAAAGCCTGTTGGACTAGTTAGGAGTATGACGCCAGATCGCAATGCATTCATTTCAGCAGCTGAGTACATAAGTGGTATTAGGTGTGCATTTGTATGTGTGTTTAAATATTAACTAGACTTCAGCAGCCTTTACCCCACCGGTTGTGTTGTGATCTGCAGAATCCCCCGAAGAGCCAGAGGGGGCGCTCTCCTCATGGCAGCGGGCACCAGAGCGGGGGCGGTCACATGAGCGCAAGCCGCCGCCCTCGTCATCCACGGGGGGTGAGAGGAAGCAGCGGTACTACTCCTGTGACCGCTACGGCAGCCGCGAGCTGTACCACCCCCGGTCGGCTGCGGCCAGCCGCTCCACCTCCCCCAGCGAGGCCTCAGAGCTGGGTCTGAACAAGCAGGTGGGGCTGGGGGAAGGGGGCGGGACCTAGGGGCACATGGGGAAGAGGAGGGGCTCATTGGGTACCAATGCCAGTGTTGCATTAGTGTTGATCTAGTATTCAAGAAAGGTGAATGGTTTTTATTGGGTCAGGGGCCAAAGGGTTTAATGAGGCTCCGCCCACAATTGACCAGAAGTCAGGTGTCTGGTTCACGTGGTCTAGCACAGGCAGAATGGCCTGCTGCTATGAGAATCTCTGCTTAGTACTGGAGGACCAAGCTGACAAACACAGCTGGTCTTCAAACTGATCTGAGGACAGTCCTTGTCCGCCATCATTAATGGCCTGAAATCTCTCACATATGTCGGGTTTTGTTTTCCT